GAAAAGTGAAATAGTTGATAATGGTATAGTGAATGGTGAAGAAAAACCAAAACCCAAACCCAATGCCCTTTAATATAATTACACAGACTGAATTATTGATGTGTGGCTATTACAAGTAATACTTCCATCTTTCAACATAACATCTTCTATGCCACATCATAAGCAGCAACAAAACTATTGAGTATCACAATTGCAGCAGCCTGACGAGTTAGGCTGCTTGTGATAACTTCAATGTGATCTCTAACCTGAACAATAACTATAAATCCTAATAGCAGCAGCTATCGCCAGAAGAGGTAATAAACTCACATACATATAAAACCTTGTCCATTCTTTACCAAATTCACACTAACAGACGAGCCATATAGTTTGCGTTATTGATGAACCTGTTTTTTTGCAGCGTAAAATGTCAAAATGGCTACTGACTGGATTTGCTTGGTTATTTTAGTGTGTTCTATGTTAGTCTGATAATGTATAAATACAATGCAGTGGAAAAGTTTAAACATAAGAACCTCATCTGAGTATAATTTATTTACCCAAAGCGGATCACTAGCTTTTATGAGACACTGCAGTAGCTTTACAGCCATATAAACCTGGTGTTGAACAGACAGGTGATATTAAGATGCTGTGATATCAAAAGGGAAAGTGACAGCGATGAAAGGCGAGAAACTTGCACCTGGTGCAAACACTTCTCACATAAATAACGTTGTTGCATTTCCCTCTTGGAAAAGATGGCTTTTCCTTCCTATCCATGGTTTGCCACAGCGATGCCTTCTAAAGTACTGTTGCTACAGCACAGCTGTCATCAATGCTATCCTGCTTATCAGCTTTCCTCTAGCACATCGGAGAGACCCGCATCACTCAAGCAATTCAGACACAGGCTTTATTTGATTAAATGGGAATGATCTGTGCTGTCTAATTCAAGTGCTGTGAATCTCATAGTGGAGAACGACACCAAAATGGTCTGAGAGCTTTTGGAGAAGGAGCTTTAGAGTATGTGCTGGTAATGATTATGACAATCATGTTGATGCCGTTATCAGTAGGAACTTAGAGTTCTCTCTAAAGCTGCTGCATCGTCTCTATTTCTATAGCAGCAGCAGGAAATCAAGGTACAGTATTATAATTGATAATACTGTTTCTCTTGGAGGTATTACTGTATATAGCTGTATAATTGCAATATATTGGAAAAAGAGTATACAGAATTGCTCTGTTTCTCCAAAGATTTAAGTAGGAAGGTTTTAAAGCCTTGCTATAAAAAGCAACTGAGACACCCCTGTTCAATGGATGTTGTATGATTCATGCCTCTGCATGACAGGAAACATGCAAGAAACATGCTGGCTGGCTAACCATATGAGTGTGTCACGCATATGTGATTCAAAGATTTTGTAATGCATGTAAGAGACAGTGAAGGATGTGCATTCTTAAATGGCTGCAAGATGTAGCAAGTGGATTAATTATTGAGCCAGGAAATGGGTTACAGAGCAGAGAACAGCCTATAACACATTTTAAACTCAGCGTTGTGAAAAATGTGGCAGACTAATATTTTATGGGAGAGCATTCGATGATTTCAGAGGTCTCTAATGAATGTGTATGCCTGGAATAAGGAGGAATCCAATAGTGCTCAAGCTTTGGCAAGCACCTAGCCCTGCAGAGCATCCTCCAAATCTCTCTTACCACTGGCATTACTTTGTCCGATTGTTATTTAAGTAAGTTTGAGATTGCCAAATCAGCTGGCATCTTAGCTTCAGTGAGGACATTCAAATCCCAAGCCTCACTTTGCCCTTCTTACACTGGCACCAATGTGGAGTAGATTATGCTCAATGGAGAGAGCAGGCCAAGTTAACAGACACGTCAGGCGTCTAGCACAGCCTCTATCTTCGACATAAACCACTATTATAAATATAACTTGTAATATTTTCTTTGGTGCATCAACTATTTCATTATTAAAGCTAAGGATCAAAGATATTCTGCACAAGAGAAAAGAATAACATCCGTTTTTGAAAAGCATGATCAAATGACAATAACAGAGAGACAACACACAAACACACACGGTCACTCTGACAATACATTAAAGCAGAAATGCAAAAGTCCTCAACTGCACATTATTGATAGCCTACTATTATTATCTCAGATATTGACGAGGGAAGCATTCCACTTCATGCATTAAGGTTTTAGGCCCCAGCTAATGGGAAGCGGTCAGTTAGAGCATGTTGTTGTAATTGCTTCCTGGTAAAGCTGTCTCACTAGCAATTAGAGACATCACTTTAAAAAAAAAAGGCTAATCTCATGTTCTGTGCTCCCAAAACTCTTTATCCACTTCAAGCTCACTAGCTTCACTTTAATGGGACAGACCCTTTAGATGCTTTCTTCGAAGATAAGAGGAGCAGGCCTAAGTATACATGTGCCTAAAACGGGGACGCTTATGCAAATGAAAGATGTGCTTTGGTAAAATTAGCTACTTTATAACTTTAGGCACAGCAGTGTAGCAGAGCGCCCCATTTGGTGCACTTTCAGCACCATGGATAGCGCGTAGCAAGGTACTAATGTTCAGCACCGTGGACAACGTCTGTGCCAACTCACCCTGATATCAAGGAGAGACTGTGGTGAGCAGCTCGCGCCATTTCGCAGCCTTTAGTTCGGGTCTTCAGCAATTCTGCCCGTAAAGAAGGACAGTCCACAGTGATTTCGCCAATGGAGATGACCAGCTCACGGTACAGAGCCACAAGCGTGTTGAACTCTTGGACGATCTGTGATACAATTAATGAGATAATAAAATATGTTATTCCGAAAACGACTTGGTCAAGTAAGTACCATACAAACATAACAATGCTCTTGTGGCTCCCTGTTCTTCTCATTGAAGTAAAACAATCTTTATATTTGGCTTTCTTCTTGACTTGTTAACATAAAAAAGTGTCAGTCAAGACGGAAATGCTGAGCAGTATTATATCCAGCCTCACTATTATTTTCCCCGCACTGAGGCAATATAATGTGCCAGCAGGTTCCCGGCTGCATGCTACAATATAAACAGTATTTAAGAAATGTTTTACATTGCACATTAAAAAAAACGATTGTCGTTCAAATTGTCCGCAAAGTCAGAGTGTATGATGAATGTATTGATTTTATTTTTCATTGTCCCATTATGCTAAGTTTGGTTGTTTGCACAAGCTCAGATCTTGGGTTCAGGGCAAACACATTTCGTTCATTTTGTGCAATTCCTGCATAGCATCCTGCTGCACTCCTGTGTATGAGGCTCCATGACGTTCACAGATGTTTGAAAGGGTAAATACATATATTTCGTGCCAACATCTGTCAAAACACGGGACCTCTGTGCAAGGAGACACCTCCGTGGATAATCTTGTAATTCAGGCAATTTTGATACCAGCCAAAATCACCTGGAGCTTTGCACACTCCAAATGCAAATCACACAGTATCTGCACGCAGAGATGATCTGTTTGGATTCACTCCCAACAAAGCCATGTAAATGCAAAAAGCTATTTTTAGGCACCCAGCCCGGGTTACAGGCTTTTCTTTGCAGCTACTAACAGCTTTCGCCTGTGCATTCTGCCTGCACGGGATAGTCGATCGTCTTGGAACAAAGACATGTTGGGATAATAACATCACTCCTTATCAGAGGCACCATGCAGTCATTGACGTGTCGCAAACCTACCATTCTGCAGTCGGCCACGGCGCGCTGGGCTTTGCGGGTACTTTCGGTGCTCTCCCTCCTCTCTGGGTCGCGGGAAGGAGGCTTGCCGATTTGGAAGATGTTCCCGGCTGATCTGGGGCGGTTTTTGCGCCCATTCGATGCAGAACTCATGCATACACATCCACTAATAAAACAGCCCTAATACAGAACGGCTTTGTCTTATTTCCCTACCAAACTCCACCACTTTCTCTGTTCCTGCCTCACTAGCCCCGTAGCCCGCACCTTACTGTTCACCTTATTATCTCCGATTACGCTGAATTCACCTTCGCCAACTGCTGGCTGGGTCAAGCCTCGTTTATTGTTATTGCTCCGTCTATCTCTCGTCTTCCTTCTCTCTAGTGTGGGAGACGAAGTAAATATGTTCCCAGACGAGCCTCAGAGCGCAGGAGAAGTACCGGATGAGCGCCTGCGACTCCTCTCCGCATTGCCTTGACTGCGACGGGGCGCAAGTCACCTTCACTCCAGCAGCACACGGTGCACAGTGAAGACTTCACACCCAACCCGGAGCCCAGCTAGCTGAGATGTTTTCTCTGACGCACCGATGTCGGAAGGAGACGATCGCATTCACGGATATTCTCCAAATGCAACCATTTTTTATGATTGCGAGTTTCCATTAAGCACCAATAAGACGGGCGATAACGATATCGATATTGTCTTCGCTGCAATACCTCCTTTTTGAGACGAAATAACACTGGCAATGTCCCGGCTGATAATTCTACAGCTCCCTACGCGACACCTAAAGCTTCTGTGTCGGGGAAAATCTGAACGCAAAGAAACAAAAACTTAATCGTCTGGTATCGTGGTGTCAATTCTGCTCCCAGCGTCTGATCCTTCGAGTGTTTCCGGCTGGTTGGGCAGGCCTGTATCTAACCTTGGAGAGGCAGAAGAAGACGAGCAGTTGCTACAGGCCTGACGTGGCTCTGTATCTGGCAGCACTGCGCACCCAAAGGACGGAATACTAATATGGCCCATTCCAGTCAAACCCCCGCCCCGAGCTGTTACCTATTTGAGCTCCTTAACGAGTGAATGCAGGCTGTTACCCACTTTTAGTAATACATACATAATGCATAATACAATCTGCTATGGCCTTTGTTTTGGAACTTTAAAGTGTGATTTATGGAACTCTTTTCTTTTAATGGTCCCTATGTTATAATAGTATCCTTCACTTAAAAACTCAGGGTGGTTTAGTTTTATAGTTCACAGTGACTTAATGATTTAAAAAAAGTTATAAATGGTATGAGTGTTTCATTGTTACATTTTAGAATATGCCTGTCAGGAATATGCCTTTAACATCTTACGTTGCTTGTTGCACTTATATGTTTTCTTCCTGACCAAGAATAATCTTAAATCAAATTCAATTAATTCATGTGAAACTTGACAGGCAGACAAATACATATCACAAAAAGTATTATGTCATTCTGAAATAAGCTGCTTAAATGCACATACAGATGGAGCACATTGTCATAAAAACTATGCTCAGTGTCACACAAACAATACTCTTTCGACATTCTTATTTTCTGTCTGCTATAAATGTTCCTGAATCCATTGGCAGCTTTCAGCAGTGCCATTTGCATTTCCTTGCTTTTTACAACCACAAAGAGGAAAGTATGCGGTAGATAATCTGAATAAATTACGAGTCCATTTCAGTGTATGGTGAGTGTTCTTTCCAAACCTGCATTACTATTTAATTGTGAATGCAGAAAAATACTTTCAAAATCCATCTATGTAAGTGAAATACACCCACAGGCACACAGCATTAACACACAGACAGAAAGAGACACGCATGCATTTCGAGTGAGACAGGAAATGTACAGTGTGATATTTCTGTCTATTTAAATATTAAATATTATTTTGTTAGTAAGTATAATGACAATTAAAGACATAAAATGTGTCAGGAATAAAATCATTTATTTGGCTCTTACACATGATTTCATTTCAAATGTATAATCACTTAAACGGTTATACCTGTATGTGTTTGTTTAAACTATATCTGCTACAAAATAAATTGACTTTAAATTGACAACAATATTCCCTCCAGATGGATGCTTATTGACCTTATTCAGCGACCTTGGGTCCCTTGAAAGGCGCTATATAAATATCATTTATTATTATTATTGTTGTGTTGCTTATCAAAAATGTAAGCACTAACAGAACGTATGTCATTATGTTGAAAGTAAAACTGATGTGATGTTACACTGTTATTATCTCCCCTTCAAGCAGGAACAGGACACAATGGAGAATATAGGATTCCCAAACATCCCCGCACCATTTCCCTATTTTAATCATTTATTTATGAGACACAACAAGCTGGCACACTGCTGTTTTTCCTCCACAGTGACATCCCACCTGCTTGACATTCCCTCATTGTTTTCTCATTAAACCCTATCCCTCAGTTTGACCCTTTCTCCCTATGTGAACATGCCTGTCTTCTGTCTCATCCTAAATTCCTTATTGTATGATCATTCTTCAGTGTCCTCAACCTTTCCTTTTTCGATGTTTCTCCGTCATTGTTGCCAGGACTGTCAAAAGGAAGGGAAGAAGATGTAGCAAAGAAAGCAGAATATGAAGAAGCCAATAACCCAGTTGACTGAGTAAATATAAATGATGACCATGTCCATGTCAAAGCGCCAGCCTCGAGAGTCATCCTCAAAGTCCAGAGCATCCAGGCGGTAGCCTCCTCCGTGGGGGAACTGGCGTCTAGCTATGGGACTGGACTGCCTCTGGAAGCCTGGTTTGGGTGACAAATAGGTATCTAGCATCTTTCATTTAAGTGGTACTTTGCCCAAAGTATATATAACTGACTTAAATACTTTGAAAATAGTATGATTGGTGGGTAGTAAAGCCTTTCTAAGTGTACTGGGAGAAGGAGCTGGGATTCATAACAGAGTCATTTAGAAATGACAAAAGGTTTTTAAATCAACTCCTACAATAATTATATTCCAAACAACCATTATTCTAGCATTAAAGTAATTGATGTTATTCAGTGCATCCCTGTTTTCCTACAGCTCTTTTGGAGGATGGTGCGACACTGCTTTAGCTCAAGATATCCTCCAAGAATTGTGCAAATAAACAATAAATTGCATGTGTGTGGGAAAGGCAGCCACTTATACAATATAAATTACAGACAAACGCAGTATAGTTTAAAATGTGTCCTACTGTTGCTGGTATTTGCAAAAGTTGATACATTCATCCTGAACTGAGAACATTTCCATGGGTGAGGATTCAAAAACTTGCCTCCAAAGATACGGAAGAGTTTTCGGCAGCTCGGGAGAGGCCACTTGGCACAATTTGCTTTCTGGAAGTTCTGTTTCCGGGAAAGATATTCCTTTGGGAAGAATGTTCTTGCGGTTTGGTTTAACTCTGTAAACAAGACAAGGAGACAAACTTAATATTATAAAACATCTTCTTGATAGCCTGGATAGATTAAGTTATGAGATCTGTATTAAAGATCCTGCATTATTAGACTCCTTCATATTTGTTCTTGTTCTGTTTCTGTGTGACCTTGGCATTGGTAATCACCACACAAATCTTATCCAAAGTCCTTTTCACCTAATCACTCACAAGAGCCCTTAGCGTGTCTGCGATGCTCATAACCATGGACACTCTGCCTATTTATGGACACAGCAGTGTCCCTGCCGCTCATTTCTCCTACATACATCTCGAAGTAGGTCAAAGTGAATCACAGAACTTCATTACTTATTCATAGATGTGTCCAACTCAGACTACGTCCCATGTAATCAGTGTGCAGTGATCACAAGGTTACATCAAATACAGCATAAGAGTGAAATATCATCATTACTGTACGTTATATAACATTGTTTTGTAGGTATGTTACATATAAGATAAAGGTTTTATCTTCCATTTGTGACGCTCTTAATACAAAGTTAGTTTTGTCATGCATTTGCAACCCATAATGAGTACTCCTTATGAAAGCACAACGTAAAGGTGTTGTTATCCTGTTTGAGTTTGTCTTCTCGTTCTGGGTGACTCATCTGGTCAGAGCTGAACTAAAGGTCTACTCTGCTCCCTGTGGGACATCTGCAGCTGGGCCCCCGAACAATCTGCAGCTTAGATCTGTACCAACACACATATAGCTGCAATTATGCATGTATGCATCTATACAAATGTACTGTTTCATAACACTACCATGTGATGTTTCATAACACTACCATGTGATATGTCATTCCACTGTAAAGCTCTTATTATACTGGCATATTTCAAAGTGTCTTTTTATCCATCTAACATTACTCACTTCAGAATGCAGAGTCGTAAGTTCGAGGTGATAAAGTATTTAAAATGTTGAGAATTGTACATCAAGTGCTTTCTGCCTATTAGCTCACCCTTCTGGAAGAAGACATGTGTGATGATTGTTCTGCAGAGGGGGCAGGGTGTGTTGGTGGGGCTGCCCTTAGCTAGCGTCCTCAGACAGGGTTCACAGAAGACATGGTTGCAGGGGTGACACATGTAAGGACTGAAGAACACATCCAAACAAACGGCGCAGATGAAACCTTCTCTGTCACCGGCGCTCACATCCTCCTCGTCCTCGCTGCTACTGCTGGATGGGTTCCCTGTTGAACTCTTGGTGCGGAGAAAAGGCAGAGAGAGAACAGACATATAGATGTTTAAGACAGGTATCCCATGCATATATGTTCTTTGTATGCAGTACCTTTGGGTATGTGAGTGGTTTTAGTGTTTTTTGAGAGGATTCAAATCAGGTTAGCGCCTTAAAAAAAAGATTCAATGGATTTCTCTTTTTTAAAAGGAAAATAATCATGGCAAACTAATTTCTAAAGGATCAGATTGACATGGATTGAGATTTTGAAACAGAATGATTGAGTATCAAGTTAAAGAAAAAAGGGAAAATAATCCAGAAATATGCCGCTCTACCTATGAGGTTCAGCATTTATTATCACTGCAAGATGTCATTGCACCAGCTGGCAATACATATATGTCAACATGTACTATTTTGCAGTCCTCTAGAGATTCTGTACCCTCTTCTTGATACACCCATTTTGACGAGAGTAAATTACTTTTACAACAACCTGCACAACATAATAATATGTGTGAGGACATGAGGGTGTAAGGTGTGAGCTCAAAAGAGCATAACTTCTACCTATCTACATGTATCACTTTGTACTGTAAAGCAAGAAACATTGTTCTAAAGAGGGACATTTGACCCAGATACCGGTACTAATTCAAACTCCATTCACTTTACAAAATAAAGAGAGGTGTTGCATCTCTCCAGGTAGAGTTTAAGTATAAGGCACAGTGTGACTTGTGAATACAAAACTGAGTAAGATAGCACTTTGTCTTGATGTTGTACATGGCCTGTCCTCTTATCCTTTGATCTAGTCTGTACCCTTTTATTTAATAGAGCACAATACACTGCGTTATCCCTCTTATCTCCTCAGCAGTCAATTGCCCTTGATTCCAAATGCCTCAGAATTTCTGAATAAAAAATACAAATCATATAAGAGGAAGTACCAACACTTGTTTAAAGAACAGTTTCTCGGGTCCCTGAAGTCCCCCGTCTCCTCCTCAGACCTGTGTTAGCAGACCCAGAGGAGTGGTGGCTGAGGCCTCTGCTTGAAAAGCCTGGGGGTGCTTCCAGAGTAATTACCCTGTTCTCACCCAGGGAGGGCCTCTGGGGACTTCAGTGTCTTACAGCCTGCCTCCCAAGGTGTGTCATTATCACAGAGGAGACAACACAGTGAGCACAGCTCCTGAGGAATCATGGCCACTGAGGCTTCCCCCTGGCAACATGTACTGTAACATGACCATTTTGTCTTGGTATCATTCAATGGAAAATAAATTCAACTTTCTGAAATAAAAGTACATTTAAAAAGACACTGAGTAAATCGCTTCCTTTTTCCAATTGTCACTTCTAACACACCACTGAACTGTGATTTGAGTTACCTTAAAATAATCATTAGTATTTCATAGCAATACATTTTCCGCAGGACTCCAAGCAGCAAATAAAACTGCTTCAGTGCAGCAGCCGAATTAAGTCCAAAGAATCAGGCACTAATTGCCACACAGGAAAGAAACCACTTCCTGTGGGAAACTGGATGACAAAAACACCCGCTCTGACCTTTGGCATACTTTGTAATGTATGCAATAAGTACAGCAGGACATTGTTCAGAAGTAGTTACATGATATTCTCTCAGGGGGGTTGAAACAACTATCTCCACAAATAAGAAGGTAGATAGGTCAGCAGTAAAGTTACATGAAATATGCAAAAGGAAAGTAAATAAAAGCATCATTCACATTGTGAATTATTTAAATGGAATTAAAAGCAGGCTTTGTGATTAAAGGGGTTAAGAAAAAGGGGAATGAGACTATTGTTCTAATGCTCTTGGGAGTTCAGTCGAAATGGCTACAGCTAATAGCAGAAATGCTGTGCTTGTAGTGAGAATCATTGTAACTGTAAAGTGCAAAGTTGGGAAAAGCTGACAAAAAGAACATGCACACCCAAAAACACCTTGATAAGGATTAATGACCAAGCAAGCCCATTCAATCTCCCTCTGAATTAAAACAAATATAAAGTTCATAGTTGGACAAAAACCCCTACTCACTTTTTCTCTGAGTTAGGAGAGAAGCTCACAACCACTACCATGAATATGCATTAAGTATGGAGCTTAGCTTAGCATAAACACTGGAAGCAAAGGGGAGCAGTTAGCCTGGATTTCTCAAAAAAATCAAATATATGAATATTGTTTCAAAGTGATTGTTGGTGCTGCTGACATAAAGAAAACGGCAACAGTTGATGTCCTTCTCAGAGCATTTTAACTACCAAAAACAATGGACACACTTCATTTTGGTTTCAACTGTTATTTCAGTTCAATTTTCACTTCCACCATTTGCCATTGCCTACTGGGAAAGGTGACTATTTGGTCACTGGGGATAGCTACTGATAGGTAGAAGGTAAACCAAAAGTGCATTCGTAAATGAAGTCTACATTTCCCCCGGTGATATACCTGGTGGCACTGGCAGACGGAATTACGATGAGAATGCAAGACTAAAAGGGCACATAGCCAGGCGCTGATGGTATCATTATTCTATTGCCTTTACATTATGATTATCAATATTTTAGGCATTACAAGTAAAAATGTGTCTATTGCCACTTTATTATGTGGTATGTCACTTGCTTAATTGACACACAACATAGATGATAAAGGACAAGTAGATCATTTAATGGAGTCATGCTTTGACTTGCCTTTCACTGTAGGACAGTCCAAACTGATTTACCCTTAAATCATAACTATGGGGAAATTGAATAGGATTCACACTTACACTTGATGTATTTTCCACACGGTGGCACATGCCATCTGTTCTCTTCTACAGAAATAATCCACCAGATTAAAATAGACACAATTAAATGTGCTTGAGTATATACATCATGCATACATTAACAGGCCAAATCCAATGGGAGGAAGAGAGGAATATCTTAACTAAAACAATGTCATCAGCAGGGGGGCTTTGAATTAGTAAATGGATGTTCTGCTTTTTCAAAGCAACTAATTCTATTGAGCTTTATCTAATTCAGAAGTAAGAATAATTTCTATCAACCGACATGACTGCAGATCTGCAGCAGCCAATCAAAACAGAATCTGATCTTTTGTATGATTGTTTTTGAAGTGCTCTCCAACCAGGCCTCATCATGCAACCAATTCAGATGTAACCCCACTTTAAACCGCAAAGACAATGGCTATTGAGATGAGCATGGTGCCGATAGGACTGTGAGCAGTCAGACTGTAGATGAAATGAAAACACAAAGGAACACAAATACACGTGACAAAAACTGCTATAAATAGTTACAGAGAGAACGTGGACCGATTATGCCAGAATTTAGTCGGCCAATTGTAGTTTACCACACACTCAAATGTACACAACTCTTACTTGCTTTATTGCATTAAACTTTCATCCTAAAATATAAACAAACCTTAACCGAATCAGTTAGTAATTTAATGCTGGAGTGCCTTGAGACTAGAGTAATTCAAAAGTATCTTATTTTTTTCTAAGTGCCATGCTAATAAAACTTGATAAGGAATGGATTTAGATGCATAATTTGTTTTTTGTTTTTTTAAAGGAAATTACATTCAATGATAGTAAGTTGCCACTACCTCTCAAGTTCTTATATTGTTGTTAGTGTAACAACATAGTCTGCATTAGGAAATGGGAGGGAAACATACATTATTCAATGATCTAATTACAAGCTCTATGGTTCCTCTTGTAGCACACTAAGATATGAGGTAGGTAGTTGATCTTAATCCTTAAACCACTGACAAACCATTTGGTAAAGAACAGCGACGTCAGTACTTATTGGTGTTGGAAGGCTCAGTTAATTGTCATTCACCTGTCTGCTCTCCTGCAGTTGACTTTGTCTCCACCTCTCTCTTCTCCTCTGCCTCCTTCTCAGACACTTAATCCTGTTCTTCTCTCTTTTACTCATCCTCCTCTCCCCAAAAGGAACATAAGGCAGCACCACTGCAGAGGTCATGGTTTGACCCGTCACCTCCACCACACCACTGCCTCCTTCCTCGCCATCTTCCAAACCCTCCTCTTCATCATCCTCCTCTCCTTCACCTGCCCCGAGCACTGAACTGGCGATGTGTGTCTGGGGTATTTGTGACAGTCGTCCAGATGAAGCAGCTGTCCTGACCTCCACCCAGAACGGATCTGGCTCTCTTGATGAACTTAATGGGTAGCGGAGGAGGTCTCCTGACACTGTCCTGGATGAAAGTCTCTGAAGGGACATAGCTGAGGATCTGGTTTGGATAGGAGGCGAAGGGAGAGCAGAAGACATGAGCCTCATTACCGGCCGAGGGACTAGGGAGTTCAAATCTGTGGTGATGGTCCTGGTGCAGTCAACAGTGGGATGTCTGGGACATTGGTATCTTCTCTGGAAGTGATTTGATCCTTCACAAACTTCCGAAGTGCTGTTTGACAGGATATCTGAATTACTGCTCGACAGACTTTCAGTGCTGCTTGTTCCTCGTCTGTCCTGCGATCTATCTCCATGATTATCACTTCTTACAGTCTTTCTCGGATGTTGTTTTCCTCTTGCGCTGCCTCCTGCATGTTCAACATGATGTCTCTCCTCATCACTGTCTTGGTTTCCTTCTCTACATCTTCCTCTTTCCTTGGAGCAGGTCTTCCTGTGGGCTTTCTTCCCTGGCAGGGGAGGTCTCACCAGTGCCTCCACACTGCCCGATCCCCCCTCTCCGGCTGGATCTGCCCTTGTTAGCCCAGGTCTCACTGGTTTCAAATACGGGGTATAAGTCTTGTTGTTGCTGTTTTCTTCACCAGAATCCTCACTTCCACAACCACCAATTCTGCCATTTACACCAGATGGTTCCAGGTGGGAGCTCATGACGGCAGTTTTGAGCCCCTCAGTCACAGCTGATGTAGCTTTAGCCAGCTAGCCTGGTCTTTCCCCTCTCATCTTTCCCTGAGTCTTCTCTCTGCCTGCCAGCCCTTCTGAATGTATGGGAGGTAGAGGGACAGTTCCAGTGTAGAGGTGAGCAGCGCTCTGGCCTGGCTATCCTGCCCTGGTTGGCCTGCTGGGACATTCCACACTGTTGATAAAGACAAAGCCCCCCCTGGTGAGCCCCATTACAATAGGGGCACTGTTCACAGCTGTACTATTGTCCCATGTGACCTATAGAAAACACACTGCTATGCAACCACTGAATACAACAAAAATAATGTGAATAAACCAGAGTAACCTTTTTTTTTAACTCACGTCCACAACCATGGTGTCAGCTTTTCTCACTCAGGGGTTTGCAAACTGAGCACAGATATTGTAGTGTGTGTGTGTGTGTGTGTGTGTGTGTGTGTGTGTGTGTGTGTGTGTGTGTGTGTGTGTGTGTGTGTGTGTGTGTGTGTGCGTGTGTGTGTGTGTCAGACTATTGCTTTATTTCATGTGTAAATTCAAGTTTTCTGAAGGTACATGTTTAAAGTGTTTCAGTGTACTTGCCCAAAGGAACTTCTAGACCTGCAGAAAATCTAATTGTATTTAATGAAATATTTCAGGATAAACTCTTTATGTCGCTTTGTTCTGACTAAATTGAGAATATAAGAAGGAACAGGAGATTCTTCATAAGAAGAAGAAATGAACAGCTTAAAAAATGTAGCAGCATAAAAGATTATCATGGGTAAGTCAGTTTGATTATTTGTTTTGCATCTTGGGCCATGAAGCTTTGGAATACCCCAGCAGACGTGGCAGGAAATCTCTTTTGTGCAGTGTGGCTATTAAGCGTTTGTCTTTTCTTTTTTTATTGTTCTAGAGTTTTGACCTGTTGTCTCCAAATCAAAATACAAAACACAGTTTTTAACTTCACAGAGGAGAGGAGAGGGACAGGAAACGTTAGTATGTAAGAGAGGGAATGCCAACTGCAAATCACAGATGCATTTATTACACGGTACGCAAACTAAAGGGCTGAATGGTTATTAATATCAATATTATTATTACTTCTGAGAGGGAGAGTGACGATGCATTTCTGGGGACAGGGGCAGGTGATTTTTAAGAAACTGACGCGCTTCTGCAGTACACGGACCCTGCCAAGACACTGGAATTCACCGACTCTCCCAAGACACTGGAGGTCCATGACCATCCCAAGATACTGGAGGTTGCTGAGCCTGCCAAAGCAAGTTGAGGTCCCTGAGCCTCCCAAGACAATGGTCATGATGCTGTATATTAGTCAGGGAAAGACTCAGTGGAGGAGAGGTTTCAGTAGATGGCGCAGGAGAAAGACTTAGCCACTTGAACATTTAGATTAGCCCTTCAGTTTTGATAGCGCTGACTTGACATGTAGGAGAACTGGACAGTACAAACAGGGCACTCTTTGTTCTCAAGAAACACCCTCCACCACATCCTGCAATGCTGCGTGTAGGTCCATTCAGCTAGAGTGAGGGAAATAGAGGATGAGGACCAGACACCAAGAGATACCAAGCAATGATTCATTTCTGTCCATACCATCTATTGCATCAGATCATCAGTTTACCGACTCTGATGATGAGGAGGATGAGACCCTCAGCCAGACTCTGAGGGTCTCAGTAAAAACAAAGTTGATGTTGAGGAGATCAAGGCAAAGAGGAGCAGCAATCGCTTCTACCACTTCTTCCGCAATATCTTCTCAAAGGTAGGTATTCACTTGTATTGTAATTAGTCAGACAAGATAAAAAGTACACACGAATAGTTTGGACCTGACCGGATCAGATAGGATCTAAAATGTTAAGTCAAGTAGAACAGACCAACACCCATGTGCATGCCGTCCTGGGGAGTACGTTACAGAAGAAGCAAGTTAGTAAAGAGCTCAGCCAGGCACTTGTATTTTATGAGCTTAATTAATGAGTGAATCCACTTTGAATATTAAGTGCAGCTTGAAGCAGTCATTAGTTAGCCAACATTGCACACTTCTCAAACGTCATGCCCCCTGATAAAACCCATCCATGTGTGACTTTGACTAAACTTCTGGCGACAGTATTACTTTTGTGTAAAAAAGAATACGACTTAAGGGCTAAAGCTTATTACGTTTTATTTCAAAATTGGAACGAAAGACAGCAGCAGGTTGCTGTACAATGGGAATGTGGAGCAGAATGCCCTCACCCCCCTTTCAAATCTATCGTTATAATAAAGAAAAAAACATTATCGTTCACACACTCACACAACCATCTCTATCCGTATCCTTCCTACGTACTCTGCCTTGAACATACTGACACACGTTTCCATGCATTATATGGTGCTGTACCCGCTGTGGGCAGCAGATGGCAGCAGCTTCCCTCTCTGGATTGTCCTGGCGCTGTCCCTAGTCCTGAAACTACCTCTCGCTCGCATGGCTCCGGTCATGTTACCTTTTCTAATTCTGGCTTGAAATGCATTATTGCGCCCTTAAACACTTTATTAACACTTATTCCTGAATTTCTATTTAAGCTCTTTTTGCCTTACAAGAAAGCATGACTTTTTTTCCTTTCTTACTAATATTGTAATAAATACAACAAAAAATGAAAGCCCTGATTTACTCCTAAGGTGTAAACTCACAAAATCCACAAATTGGAACAATCAGTGAGTCCAAATAATCAAATAAAGGGGAGAGAAAAGGAGAGAAGAGCTTTGCACCCTCGTCGGTTGTCTGTAGTAGAAAAACGGAAAAACGAGGAGAACAGAGGCACAAAAACTCCAGGGCGACCTCCAAACGGTCTGACGTACCCCAAGCTGCTGGTATAAATGAATTCACGGCGTCAACAAGCTCAGATGATTCGCAGCACCGGTGAGGGCACCCGGCTGTCAACACTCACGAGCTACAACACACACAACCCCCCTCACCCACACACACACACCCACACACACACGTCTGCGTCATGCGTCCTGAGAGCGACGGCACCAAGACGGTAACTCCGATGGACCCCAGAAAAACGCACAGCGGCAGCAGTCTGAGGGGCTGACTGTGTCCTGCTAATCTGTCCAGCTGCGAGTCCCCACTGCCCTGAGAAAGTTGCACTCTGAGTGCGGTCGCATAATGGATTTTATAACAACAAGCAGCAACGACAGCAACGCCACCAGCAGTTACCCACACCGGGAAGACGTGGTTGCCGACTGGGACGGGGGTGAGAATGGCACCGGGTCTGGGTCTCTGGCAGAAATGAAGCTAAATTACCAGATTATCACTTCTCTGCTCCTGGGGGCCCTCATCCTCTGCTCCATATTTGGCAATGCGTGCGTCGTGGCAGCAATTGCCCTGGAGAGATCTCTCCAGAATGTGGCTAACTATCTGATCGGATCGCTGGCCGTCACAGACCTCATGGTATCGGTGCTGGTTCTACCAATGGCGGCCCTCTACCAGGTTTTGAGCAAGTGGACACTGGGGCAGGAAATATGTGATTTATTCATCTCTCTGGATGTACTATGTTGCACCTCATCCATCCTGCATCTGTGCGCAATTGCCTTGGACAGGTACTGGGCCATAACAGATCCAATTGACTATGTAAATAAACGGACACCGAGGCGAGCTGCGATCTTGATAAGTGTGACTTGGCTCATTGGTTTCTCAATCTCTATCCCGCCTATGTTAGGCTGGAGACGCGCCAAAGACAGGGCGAACCCAGACGCCTGCAGCATTAGCCAGGATCCGGGCTACACAATCTACTCCACATTTGGGGCTTTTTACATCCCTCTTATTCTCATGTTGGTCCTGTACGGGCGAATATTCAAGGCTGCTCGGTTTCAGTTTCGAAAGACTGTCAAGAAAGTCAAGAAAGTCGAGAAAGCAAAAGTGTCAGACAAGTTTTTGGCGGTCTCTCCGGCCATCTTCCACAAGAAAACTAACGGGGAAGCCGGGGTCAAAGGCTCTCCGTGCGTAAACGGGGCCGTGAAGCACGGAGAGGAAGGAGAGTCACTTGAAATCATTGAAATTATGAGCAACTCAAAAACGCACCTGCCTCTGCCCAACACCCCCCAGTCCACGCATGGCTACGAAAACATGAATGATAAGAACTCGGGGGCGAAGAGAAAGATCGCGCTGGCCAGGGAACGTAAAACGGTCAAAACACTGGGGATCATCATGGGGACTTTCATCTTCTGCTGGCTGCCCTTCTTCATCGTTGCTCTCGTGCTGCCTTTCTGTGCAGAGAGCTGCTACATGCCGGACTGGCTGTTCGCAGTCATAAACTGGCTGGGCTACTCCAACTCTCTCCTCAACCCCATCATATATGCCTACTTCAACAAAGACTTCCAAAGTGCTTTCAAGAAGATCATAAGATGCAAATTCCACAGAGCGTAACAACACAGTGAAAACATTTTGTTTGACTTTGATGTGGAGTAAATTAACTGACAGCAGGAAATGTTTAGTGACTGTATGGAAGAAAAATAAGCTACAGACTTTAATTCAGGGACAGTCTCCATTCGGTGTGTGTTCGAGGACCGTGTAAAAAAGAACCCAGGTTCATTGGCCGCTGATGAATTGAGACATTGCAGGAACGTTCGCTCTTAATGTACACGCTCATGTTTATTCAGTGTTGTAGATACAGTATTTAGCCAATTTCTGATTCTAGCCATCGTTGTATCGCCATCATGCAACACGTGTCATGTGCTGATTACATGCATACAATCATGAGACACGCGGGGCTTACATCCTACGTCACGGGCTTTGTAGCACTGAAACAATAAAAGCAATCAAGGTTTGACATTAAGAAATATGAGTCCTTTTTGTTTAAAGAATAACAAAGTCACAAGCCAAGCGGCCTATAGTAAAAAAAAAAACAGTTTTTCTTGGGACCTGTTTCATCATGTATCTTCATATAATATAAAGAATGAATCATGTCGTAGAAAAAACTAAGCAGAGAGCTTTGCTGTGACAGGCCACACTGATGATA